GGTTAAATATTTCCGCACAAAGGGCAAGACATTTGTTTTTTGGGGGCAAAGTACCGAAATTTGGTATGAAAAATTGAGGTAAAGTCGCCGGAAAGCAATTGCAACGTCCTCGTCCGGAAATTTTTCCCCCTAAAAAGTTGTCGACGGAGGGGGGGGGGGGGGGGGGGGGGGGCAGTGGTTGTTTTCCGAAAAAAAATTTTCCTGAAAAGATTTTGAAATAGGGCCCCTAAAAATTTTTTTGCCACGCCAACCTCTCGCCGGCCCAGTGCACGAGCGCGTACCAACTGGGGAAAACAACAGTTTGTCTACCATGTGGTCAACGATTGGAACAATCTTAACTTAGAACAAAGACAATCTAGCAATCTGTCTTCTTTTAAAAATTCTATTAGACCATAGTTTGATTTATTCTTGTATATTAGCAATTTCTGGACGTCTTAAGGGGCATGCATCTAGTGAATTGACGTCTTTTAAAAACTTTCTTAGACTTTAGGGACCATTATTTAGTGACCGAGGGTGGGCTGGCAACTTGCGCTTTAGACTAAATTTTAATCTAAGTAAGAACAACGAAATCTATCACCACAGCTGGAAAGAGCGTCTTGGAATTAGTAATATTACAAAGTTTGTTTGCGAAATGTTGTAAAATACGGAAAATATAGCCCTTCAAAGTTGGCAAATTTGTATACTTTTGTATTACGTGCGTGAATTGGTAACTAAATTAGTTACCAATTTCCGCACGTAATAGAAATGTATACAAATTTGCCTACTTCGCAGGGCTATATTTTCCGTACTTTACAACATTTCGCAACCAAACTTTGCAGTTTTTCTAATTTTGATAACTTCTTTCAGAAAATATCCTTTGTTATTCCCAGATTAAAAATTTTTCTAAAGCGTAAGTCGTCCATTAGAAGGTATATAGTGTTTCTTAAAGAACGAGGGATAGTTGTAATCATGTTAATGTGTGATGTAATCAAAATGTATGTTTAGTTAATATAGTGTTTCTTAAAGAACGAGGAATGGTTGTAATCTGCATGTTAATGTCTGATGTAAAAGGGAGCGTTAACGCACATGCCGCACGACTATCTGTATTCAAAGTTACGGACCGTAACGATCCGATAACAGATGTCTATACTGGACATATATGAAATCTAAATCTCGAGGGGCAAGAATGATAAGGGATGCTGAACATGAACTTACTTCTTCAATAACCTATCTTATAAATAAATCGATTACCATGACATAAACACAATGGAGGACAACTTTCAGATGGGATAGTTCCTGCCTTGTGGAAAATTGTACGAGTCACCCCGTTATACAAAGCGGATGACAAACTGTTGGTTGAAAATTATTCGCGGCCAATTTCGATTTTGCCGGTGTTGAGTAAAGTTCTTGAGAATGTTGTTCATACAGGAAAGTGCCATATTGGCAAGCTTTCCCAGGAGTACTTTATGGTTTATCGAGTCAAACGCTTTGGAGATGTCAACGAAAAATAAACCAGTGATTTTCCCTTTATCCATTGACTCAAGAACCCAGTTATTTACTTGTCCGATAGCTTGCGCAGTACGTCTAAACCCATATTGATGAGGATAAATATAATTCAACTCCTTTAGATGCGCACTCAATTGTTTGACAGGAAGCAAAGCGTGTCCATAAACGGAGAAATATCGGATCCTCGCTCGGTTGTGCTTGGCGTTCCGCAAGGACGTATTTTGGGTCCGCTTTTGTTTAACAATTACGTTAATAGTTTGTCAAATCTGTGCCTGTGGAGAATACTCGTGTTATATTGTTTGTAGATGATGCAGTCTTGATTTTTGGCGCATCGACCCCTCAAGAATTGCAAAAGACCTTATATATAGAACGTGATTTTAGTTTGATTTGTAATTGGTATTCTGACAACAAATTAACGCTAAATATCAAGAAGACGAAATTTCTTCTGGCAGGTAGTAAACTTATGTTATCAAAATTTGAAGATTTCAAGCTACAGTTACGAGATAACATTGAGATAGATCGGACCCAGTCTTTTAAATATCTCGGTCACTCGGTGTGAAATTAGATGAGAAATGGTGGTGGAAGCCACATATTAAGGATTTGCTTCGAAAGTTAGGCCATCGACTCTCCGTATTTAACCGAATTAATTGACATATTTTGGATCATAAATCTCGTGTTGCATATTTCAATGTACTAGTCTTACCACATTTAGACTACGCAGATATGGTATGGGGAGATCAGGTTGGTGTGAAATCCGAGATGGAACAACTACAGGCTTTTCAGAATCGATTAGCTAAGAAAATCCAAGGGGGTAAGCGGTCACCGCGTCTGATGCATTAAAATCTCTAAAATGGATTCCCCTGACTGGACGACATTTTAGTCACCGTTGCATTTCTGTCCACAATGCAATCAAAGGAAATATACCCGAACATTTCGAATATTACAGATCAACCTTAAATAACTCCCATGGATACAATACAAGGAACAGTCAGTTGTCTAGGCTGCCTAAGCCAAGTACTGAATGGGGCAAGAGGACAACCTATTATAGGGCAACAAATGATTGGGCATCACTTCCAAGTACCCTGAAGAAAACGATGCTTCAAAATATTTTTAAGAGAGAACTCAAAATGTTTTTAATTATTCAACACTGTTGAACTTATAGTAAACTTATAGTGAATGTTTTTAACAATTTTTAGCCTAATTTTATACTTTTAACGTATTACATGTATTCATATTATTATTTTATTATTAAGTTCAGATTGATTTGTGTTGGTAAATTCTGTAGCATTGATCTTGTGCCTACTAAGAGGAATTTGGTCTTGTCAGGATTAACAGTTCATGTTCCACTGAAGCACCATTTAGCAGTTTATACAGATCGTTTTCTAGTTTAGCTATTGTCTGTTGTATAGTCTTCGACAAGAAGTGCAAGATGGAGTTTTGAATCGTCAACGTAGGAGTCGAGATCACTTGAAACCGTTACAGCTGGTAGATCATTGACGTAAATTCCAAACAAAAATGGTGAAAGAATAGAGCCCTGGGGCACTCCATGGGTTAGTGCGCTAGTTGAGGAAACAGTTGATCCTATTCGTACGTATTGTGATCTGCCCAACAGATAGCTTTCGAACCATTTAATGGCTAGCGGAGACGCTCCTACGCATTTCAACTTATTATTATTTTATTATTACAACTTTATTTCAATACGGAGCTATTTCACAATATTAAACTAACTAAATATATACAGAGAGAAAACAAAATGAGTGATCTTCCAATAGGCCGTATATATAAAAATTATTATTACTTTCGTTGCAATTAAAGCTTATTTTTGAAACATTGGATGGTTTGAGATCTCTTAAGATCACAAGGTAAACTATTCCAAGCCACCGCACCCCTGTAACTAAATGATTTTTTCTTGAAATTAGTGTTTGGTTTAGGTGGAAAATAATTTTGCACCTGTCTCGTTTCGTAATTGTGTACGTCATCGGTTGAAATAAATTTGATATGGAGCGAGGAACAAATTGAATTTCTAACTTTGAACATTAGTGTACCAAGTTGTTGGTTCCTACGAGTCTCCAGATTGTCAAGGTTTAGGTGTTGTAGAAGAACACAGGAGCGGACATCATATCCACACTTAGTGGTAATGCACGCAGCTCTGTTTTATAAACGCTGCAGTTTATCAGAAAGTGTGGAGCCGAGGCCGCCCCATACCTGTGAACAATAATCAAAGTAAGGTTGCACTAATGTTTTATAAGCAATTAGTAAAGTTTCAAGGTCTAAGAATTCTCTTAACCTTTTTAGTACATTCAAACCTTTATTTATCTTAGGGCCTGTTCATATGATCCCGCTTACCGGGACGTCTCGCTTACCGAGACGAATATTTCCGTGCGTTCATATGGAGTATTTCGTCCCGCTTGCCGAGATGAAATTACATTGTAGTTCTATAATTAGCGTATGCAAAACTTCTACATTTCAGTCAAGCAACACAAATACTTGGCGATTTTAGTGTTTTTCTTCGTTTATTTACAAGAAAAAGTATTGCTTGAGGTGGTTATTTAATACTTGTTTACAAAACAAACATAAAACCAAGTAAAAAGTGTTAAATTAAACCGGCAAGACTTGTTTCACTTCATCCCGGTAAGCGGGCTGGCGTGTTCATATGGAAAAATTTTCATCCCGCCTACCTATGATCTCGGCAAATTCAAACGAGATCTCGGCAAGCGGGCCAGCTCGCTTTCTCATATGAACACAATGCAAAATTTTATAGGAAAATAGATAGGCGGCGAGATCATCGGTAAGCGAGACGTCCCGGTAAGCGGGATCATATGAACAGGCCCTTAGTTGTTATTGCGTTAACCTGTTCATTCCAACTTAGCGTCTCATTTAACATTAGACCCAATGACTTAATCGTTTTAACTCGTTTGATTTTTTCTGTGCCGAGATAGATTGGAGGATCTGTTTCTATTAAATTTAGCCTTTGATAAGATCCTATAATCATATATTCAGTTTTCTTAGTATTTAAACTGAGTTTGTTCACGGTCAGCCAGTCGGATACATTTTTTAAGTCATTATTTAGTGCATTTGTAACAGTATTTATGTCATTGCCAGATGTATCAATTTGGGTATCAATTTGGGTATCATCAGCAAACATGTTACACTTAAGCAATTAGGGAGGTTAAGCAATTAGGGAGGTCATTTATATACAGTAGGAATAACAGGGGACCAATAATTGACCCCTGTGGTATTCCACTAGTCATGCTTGACTCTTTAGAATGCAATAGGATTGTGTGATTGATGCTGTCAAAGGCCTTAGACAAATCCAATAAAATGAGGGCTGTTACAATATTACATGTTTTTTTGTCCATGGTTTCCAGCATCTTGTCCGTAATGAAGATGTTTAAAGTTTCTGTAGAATGGTGTTTCCTATTTCCATTTTGATGTGGTGATAAACGTTGGTTTTCTGTTATGTATGAACTAAATTGGTCGAGTGCAAATCTTTCACAGACCTTTGATAAAACTTCTAAAAGTGAAAGCGGTCGATTATTAGACGGTATCTCATGATCGATCGGCATATCTTTATGCAATGGTGTTACTTCTGATAATTTCCACATATCAGTCGGGAAACTTGCCTGACGTTAAGGAACAATTAATTAGGTTCGTGAGGGGGCCCAGAATGACTGGTAGACAATCTTTGATGACACTCACACTTATCTTATCCGGCCCCAGTGATTTGTTTCTGGGCATAGCCATAATTCGTCGAATTACTGAACAAGTAACAGGTTCAAACGTAAATTGTTGATCCGTAGGGTAGATTTCAGAGTTCAACATAGAACCCGATAGTGCAATGTTGTTTTTGTTTGCTATAGATCTAATGCTGTAGCGGCGGTGATTTTTCCAACTGAGATGAAGTAGTTATTAAAATCTTCAACAATCGACTTGAGATCTTTCCTATAGATATATTTTTCCTTCTCTTTCGCAGGTATAGTATTATTAATTATTTTCCAAAGAGAACCTGGATTATTCTTATGAGCTTTAACTTCATCAGGTAGATGGTTTATTGCTGCCTCCTTAAGTATAACTTTAACGTTATTACGAGATTCTCCGTACATTTCCCAGTCAACGTGTTTTAAGAAATCTCTGATGTAGTTTGTCTCGAGACTTCAAGTTGTAATAATGATAAATTAGTAAATCTTCGACAAAATCTCTTGAAAGAGTTATCAGCTTCAATTGACTTTTATAGGAAATAACGATCTATTCCTATATTGTACGTCTATGAATGACGAATGCATAACAAAATGTACAGCCACGTATATATGTATATGTACATGACTTTAACCAAGACATTCACTGATCTTATCGTATGTAATTAGCTTACTATATAATTTGAAAAATGATTCTGTGTTAACTATCCTATGTACCAGTAATGGTGTGATGGAATTAATTATTTTTACTCTTCTTAATCACAAACCAATCCAATACATTGAAAACATAGCAAGATATAAATTTACATTACAAGATATGAAAATATAATGCACACGCTTTGTATACTCTGGCTACGTCAATGGAAATTTGAATTGGGGCAAAATAAATATGGCCAAGGGTATATAATGGTTTGGCAGGTGTTAGGGAAACGACAAAACCAAAAAGAACATTATTCTACTAAATAAAACCGCGCTCGAGATAGCAATAATTAACAACAAATTCAGAGTAACGATTTTGCTTGGTTTCTTGACTTGACTGTTGATAAAAATGTTCGAATGTTTGTTGTAAATTAAAAGCAAACAGATATAATAATATCGATATCCCGCTCCTTGCTATATTGAAGTGTGTTTCAAATGGTAACATGCATGCAATTGGAAATCTTGTTATACAGTCCGAACGAGACAATGAACCAACCATGTTATTGGAAAAACGTAAACTAACAAAAATAATGAGTTCTTTTGTATTTCATCGGGTTCTGTAACCACCATTACTACACTGACTATATGGTATGAATATGAAGTCCATGCATGCAATTGCATATTTACTTCGTAATATTTCCATTCACGGAAGTGTTAAGAGTGTAATTTTAGCGTACAACAACTGCATGCCATGTATACCATCTTCGACGTGAAAAAAGACATTTAAATAAAAATAATGAGAGTTATCCGTATCATACCCAAGTTGTAAATTATATCAGTGAATGTTTATAATCAAGAGAGATATTGTTCAAAACAAACACTTTCAAGCTTCTGACAGAGCTGCAACACCAGGCAAAGTCTTCCCTAAAGAAAAATAAAACATGATCTTAAAAGCAGTTACATGAAGGTCGCGTTTTATGTCCGCTGCTACGTTGATTATTCCTATCTCGTTTACATCATCATCCCCGCCTAAGAATGTTTACTTAATATTTGATATACGATTACTGTTATATAATCTCGAACGGTCTGTGTCAGTATAGCTAGTGCCAATAATAATGAGAAGGCTGCAGATTGATAGGTATACAACTACTTGAGAAATACAAGGAGAACTTCGACGTTTCGAGCCATTCGTTCGGTAACAATAAAATTCATGGAAAACTGCATCTCATGCAGTAGATGTCGCATGCTTTTACATTGGGGAAACTGAAAGATTTTTGAGACATGCAATGTTTGGTGAGCATCGGCGTGCAGTCATTTGCAATGATGCTAACCAGCCTGTTTAACAGTGTTTGGAAATTGGAGCTCTCTGTCCCATTTTTTGAAGCAATGATATCCGCAAAAGACATGTAATGCGCCTCATTTCCAAATGCCTTGCTCATCAAGAGAAATTATATTTTACCTTCTAACAGCTCAAGACTTGCTCCACCTCCTGTACTCACGTGACTTACTAGATCTTCAGTTTTATATTTAGCTGCACATGTCGCAGTATCACCTCCGCCTACACAGAACATTCAAACCATGTTTAGCAGGACATAAAGTACTAATGGCAGACAATTCAAACCATGTTTAGCACAACATAAAGTACTATAATGCATTAATGGCAGAACATTCAAACCATGTTTAACACAACTTCAAAAACGCATTAATAATTCATGAAGCAATTATCCAATCTTGAGTAAGAAATTAGTCACATGCATACGTCTTTATACCAGCTAAAGAACACTTTAACAAAAGACCATTGTTATGCAAACTATATAAAGATTTTTATATAAAATTTTTATATAAAGATTTTTATATAAAGATTTGACTTATTATGCAAACGTTTTTGAAGCCATTTAACTCGCAGGTCGTGTTTTATTAGTACTTCAAACACTCATTAATAATTCATAAGCTTATTGGCAAATCATGTCAACCATAATATGTCACGTGCAGTGGCTTTAAACCTGATAAAACACTCCTAATTAGTATTCTCTATATAAAGAATACTAATAAGGCAGTATCTATTGTACTGTAGTCGTGTTCTCATTAGTATTCTTTATATAAAGAATACTAATACGGCAGTATATCTATTGAATTTGTATCGTGTTTGAAGCCGTTTAATAAACTCGCAGGTCGTGTTTTATTAGGTCTAAAGCCACTCGCGCTGCGCGCTCGTGGCTTTAAACCTAATAAAACACTGCTGCTCGTTTATTAAACAGCACATAAAGTACTAATGACAGAACATTCAAACCATGTTTAAATTAACAGAACGCCATTCAAACCATGTTTAACAGAACATAAAGTAGTAATGACAGACCATTCAAACCATGTTTAGCAGGACATAAAGTACTAATGGCAAACCATTCAAACCATGTTTAAATTAACAGAACACCATTCAAACCATGTTTAACAGAACATAAAATACTAATGATAGAACATAAAGTAGTAATGACAGACCATTCAAACCATGTTTAACACAACATAAACTAGTAATGACAGACCATTCAAACCATGTTTAACACAACATAAAGTATTAATGACAGACCATTCAAACCATGTTTAACAGAACATAAAGTAGTAATGGCAAACCATTCAAACCATGTTTAACACAACATAAAGTAGTAATGGCAAACCATTCAAACCATGTTTAACACAACATAAAGTAGTAATGAAAGACCATTCAAACCATGTTTAACAGAACATAAAGTACTGATGGCAAACCATTCAAACCATGTTTAACACAACACACAGTAGTAATGAAAGACCATTCAAACCATGTTTAACACAACATAAACTAGTAATGACAGACCATTCAAACCATGTTTAACACAACATAAAGTATTAATGACAGACCATTCAAACCATGTTTAACAGAACATAAAGTAGTAATGGCAAACCATTCAAACCATGTTTAACACAACATAAAGTAGTAATGGCAAACCATTCAAACCATGTTTAACACAACATAAAGTATTAATGACAGACCATTCAAACCATGTTTAACACAACATAAAGTATTAATGACAGACCATTCAAACCAAGTTTAACAGAACATAAAGTAGTAATGGCAAACCATTCAAACCATGTTTAACACAACATAAACTAGTAATGACAGACCATTCAAACCATGTTTAACACAACATAAAGTATTAATGACAGACCATTCAAACCATGTTTAACACAACATAAAGTAGTAATGGCAGACCATTCAAACCATGTTTAACACAACATAAAGTAGTAATGGCAAACCATTCAAACCAAGTTTAACAGAACATAAAGTAGTAATGGCAAACCATTCAAACCATGTTTAACACAACATAAAGTAGTAATGAAAGACCATTCAAACCATGTTTAACAGAACATAAAGTACTGATGGCAAACCATTCAAACCAAGTTTAACAGAACATAAAGTAGTAATGGCAAACCATTCAAACCATGTTTAACACAACATAAAGTAGTAATGAAAGACCATTCAAACCATGTTTAACAGAACATAAAGTACTGATGGCAAACCATTCAAACCAAGTTTAACAGAACATAAAGTAGTAATGGCAAACCATTCAAACCATGTTTAACACAACATAAAGTAGTAATGACAGACCATTCAAACCATGTTTAACAGAACATAAAGTAGTAATGGCAAACCATTCAAACCATGTTTAACACAACATAAAGTAGTAATGACAGACCATTCAAACCATGTTTAACAGAACATAAAGTAGTAATGGCAAACCATTCAAACCATGTTTAACACAACATAAAGTAGTAATGAAAGACCATTCAAACCATGTTTAACAGAACATAAAGTACTGATGGCAAACCATTTAAACCATGTTTAACACAACATACAGTAGTAATGAAAGACCATTCAAACCATGTTTAACAGAACATAAAGTACTAATGGCAAACCATTCAAACCAAGTTTAACAGAACATAAAGTAGTAATGGCAAACCATTCAAACCATGTTTAACACAACATAAAGTAGTAATGACAGACCATTCAAACCATGTTTAACAGAACATAAAGTACTGATGGCAAACCATTCAAACCATGTTTAACACAACACACAGTAGTAATGAAAGACCATTCAAACCATGTTTAACAGAACATAAAGTACTAATGGCAAACCATTCAAACCAAGTTTAACAGAACATAAAGTAGTAATGACAAACCATGTTTAACACAACATAAAGTAGTAATGGCAGACCATTCAAACCATGTTTAACACAACATAAAGTAGTAATGACAGACCATTCAAACCATGTTTAACAGAACATAAAGTACTAATGGCAAACCATTCAAACCATGTTTAACACAACATAAAGTAGTAATGGCAAACCATTCAAACCATGTTTAACGCAACATAAAGTAGTAATGGCAGAACATTCAAACTATGTTTAACACAACATAAAGTAGTAATGTTCATTCAAACTATGTTTAACACAACATAAAGTACTGGCAGACCATACAAACCATGTTTAAGAGAACATAAAGTGCTAAGGGAGCAGTCATTATTAATGCCAGGGGGGGGGGGAGCGGAAGATATTTCTAAACTCATGGTAAATTTTTCATGGCCCCTCATTCCTTCAAAATATTTTTTCATGCCCCCCCTTTAAATATAATAAATTTTCATAGCCCCCCCCTCTTCCCCTGTGATTGAACTTGCATTCCAAACATATACTAAGATCACAGGCGGCCCAATCTCGCAAGCGACGTCTTGGGCTACTGTGGTGCTTGATTTTCGATGGCTGGGGGGAGCGGGAAATCAAAACAACAAGTCCAATATGGCGGGGAAATTTATCTTTATCTTGTATAAAAACCACATGGACGAATTCAATTGAACTAAATTTTGGCACAAGAATGAGTTTAAAAAACATAGTATGACAAAAAGAGCCTGTGGAGAATATCTGGAAACAGTTTTAAGAAATAATCTCGACGAGATGCAGCGAAACGTGACTATGTAAGTCTGTATAAATACAATTTATAAAGATTTTCTTAATAATTTCATATGTTATTTGAGTTTGAATCATTTGTCCATATAGTTTAAATTATGTGCCTTTATGAGTTTATGATCATTTCGCAAGTTTTTTTATGCCAAATTGCTTACAAAAGAATTAAAAACTCTTGACAAAATGAAGTTGAATTTTATTGAATGTCATCATGCTATGCATGAAATAAATAATCACTCGCGCAAGTCGTGCAATTAACAGTGCAATTTTGGCGCATTTTTCAAATATTACTCGTAGTGTTAATATAATTAATTGCACTCCTTCCTGTGTGATTACCTATACTTATATTGCATTAACATTTATATTACAGTGAACTATAATTGCTGATGTTTTATGATTATTGCACATTAGTATAATTACATAGGTGATTATTGAAAATTCTCCACGCTGATTGGTTACCGTTGAGGTGATTATTACGCGATAATCACCTAAGCGATTTTCAAAATGGCGGCCGAAGCCGTTTTGTCAATTGAAAGACCAACCTCGTTCCCAGCGTATTTGCTCTTGGGAAGCAAAGACCCTGGTGGACGCTGGTCACGTGATCTGCTAAAATCTAGCAGATTTTCAATTAGCGTTGTTTTGTCAATCTGGGAGGGGTGGGAATGTAGTAGTTGACATTCGCCAGATGCATTAGTGCTGTATTAAATTCGTACTCATCATGACAAGATTTCCTGCTATATTGAATGTCATCAATAATAAGTGCTGCGGTACATTTCAAGCGAGAAGCTGGATCATATTTCACTTGCAAGGAAAAATATACTCCACACGCGCCTGGCTAGTGAGCACGCATCAGATCGCCGTATAAACATACATATCTGATATCTTCTACACCGACTGATTGATCAAACGGTATTTATATAAAACGAACGATATGATATGGTTGTTTATAGTTGAAATGTATCCTGTCCGATATTCAAAACAAAGGATTTATTTTATAACGGGATCCTTTGATTTCCCAACTGAAGTACTGAACATCGCCAACTGTGTATATAAAAACAATAGTGCTGTTTTGACTGTGAATTACAGTAAGCACAGGATTAAAACCCGTTATTCCTTTTATTTACATTGCTGAAACAGCTCAACGATCAAGAATGATATATGTCGAAGTACAGCTACAGTATACTGTTATCACACGCCAAGACTCCTCGGTGCGTGCGGTACAACTTGAATATCTAGGACGATATATGCACTAGACTAAATTATATCATATATTGCAGTAAACATTATAAATCTTATAAAGACCTTTCATTGGCATTGGTATTAATGCCCAGGCATTATTTGAAGAATAATCCAACTTAAAATCCAGCTTCTTTCGACTTGTATAATGCCGCTGTGAGTCATCAATATTTAAATCAACTTTAAGTCTTTAATCTTTATCGTATATATCCCTATACTGTGTCGTAACTGTAATTGAAATTTTAGAAGTTTCACCAAACGATACTTCGTAACTGTAAGCAAACAACCTATCTATCAGTATCAATAGAAACTTTAAAAGGCTTAATAAAACTCATTAAGTAATTCTATGAGCGAGACTTGGTGCGCATATACAGTTTATGAATTGTGTATATATAAATATATATCCCTGATAAAACGTATAGGGACACTTCGTACCAGATATAATAACAAATACTTTGCTAAATCTTTTCGGATATCATTCCTTTGCATTCAGGGTGGGAGGGTGAATGGCGATAGCTATAATTTATTATAGGAGATTCTGTGCAATAGTTTGGCTCAACAAACAGGTAGTCGTGAAGACAAAAAAGTGCGCTGTCGAGTGTCGATTCCAAACAATTTTGTCAGTCGCTTTTGATACCTCTACTATACAAAACAGTATACCGTTTCCTTTCTATATTACAACAATTCAATGGCATATTATAAGAATATTGTAAATATCTGAACCAGAGGCAGAGCCAGGACAGAAACGTACGTATGAAATGAAAATATTGCGCCCGAACCCCGAGAGAATATTAAAAATGCAAATATTTCAAACCATACGGTCATACGTTTTCGTTGCTTGATTTGCTGACTTGTCTGTTAGTACAAGAATCTGCATTTTACCATAATATAATTTAAAACGGCAAACAGAAACCAATTTAGCAAGAATTTTGAAGAATATATGATTCTCAAAGATTATTGTACAGCACGGCACTCCTTGCAATCGAAGTGTGAAGTGCGGAAGTGGAAACATGTAATATGAGACCTTTCCATCCCCCTCTGAGGCTATCAATTTTCTATGGGTCACGTGACCAGCGTCCACCAGGGTCTTTGCTTCCCAAGAGCAAATACCCTGGGAACGAGGTTGTTGAAAGACGAAGAAATGTGCATTTTAAAATATTTTTTCAAATAATCACCTATGAAATTATCCTGAAACAATTATTCACCTCAGGCTCGGTGATTATCGTGAATAAAAACCTCGACTTCGTCTTGGTTTTTATTCACTGATAATCACCTCGCCTTCGGCGAATAATTGTTAATTATTTTTGGTGCCCCCCCCTACTTTTCTTTGATATTTTTGGTAGCCCCCCCCAACTGGTTGATAAATTTTTGGTGGCCCCCCTAAATATCTTCCCCCCCCCCTGGCATCAATAATGACTGCTCCCTAATGATAGAACATTCAAACCATGTTTAACAAAGTACTATTCATAGAACATTCAAACCATGTTTAACATAAAGTACTATTCATAGAACATTCAAACCATGTTTAACAGAACATAAAGTAGTAAACTCGTGACTAGATGTCACTACTGTTGCATATAAGGCCAATTATGTCACGCTGCCTGACATTCCAACACGAAAAAGCGAATTGAAGAACGAACAATGGGAATGAAAACTTTCGTGGAGGGAACTTAGTTTCATGGACAAGATTAAAATTCGCACAGCGACTAAGTGAGCAGTGTTTTTGTTCAAAATTATTAATGTTTTGATAATTATTGATTTGTCTAGATAATGCTACTTAAATATTAAAATAAATGAATGGAAATTTGACTCTATTGTGGGATTATCTTTTTTTATGGAATTTCAACACCATGATATTTGCATTCGGAGTTAAACAGGTGAAATCAAGCCCTGCCATATTGTTATGAAAACCAAACTAACCTATAATAGTTGTCGCTCCAGCCTTGGTTACTTCAACAACAGCATCCATTACTGCTTTGGTCCCAATTGCAAAATTTTCAAATTCAAACACTCCGGGTGGACCATTCCAGACAATAGTCTGACATTTTGGGATTACATCTTTGGTAAATTTCTCGATAGTCTTTGGTCCTATATCTAGTCCCATCCAACCATCAGGAATACCCGACTCTAACGTTGCTTCACCAACTTCAGCGTCAGCTGAAAATTTGCTTCCGGTTTTATAATCAACTGGAATGTGAAGTTGGACGTCATTTGCCTTGGCTTTATCGACCAATCTTTGAACAATTTTTGAACCTTCTTCATCAAATAACGAGTTACCAATCTATATTAAAACATATTATTGATTCTTGAGATGTTACTCTGAGTGTATATCCACACCGGGCAAGCTTGAAAAATATGCCTGACCACGGTGGGAATCGAACCTACGACCTTTGGAATACTGGAACACTCAGAGTAACATCTCAAGCATCATATTCACCTGAGTACATTACACCAACACAGAAAAATCATTACTGATTATTAGATTACATTGATATCGAAGGAACTAGATTCTATTCCGAAATATCACATACTCGAACCGACCAGACCGCGTAGCTCAGTTGGCAGAGCATTGGGCTGGCATTCCAAAGGTCGTAGGTTCGATTCCCACCGTGGTCAGGCTTAATTTCAAGCTTGCCCGGTGTGGATATACACTCAGAGTAACATCTCAAGCATCATATTCACCTGAGTACATTACACCAACACAGAAAAATATTATTGGTTACTGATTATGACGCTGTTTCTAAACTTTGAAACAACTAAAATGAAAGTGGATTATATGAATAATTCTCCAAGACACTACTTCATAACATCAATATGTAGCGGCAGATCGAACTTAACGTGAACTCATTATTTCAACTGTGAGAAGTTTGCAACTTTTGCGGCCCGGTGGGTTTAAGTTATTTTACCTCCATATTATATAGAACTTTTGCAAAAGTAAAAGCCATTCCACCAGCAATAATCATAACGTTCACTTTATCCAACATGTTCTCAATTAACTGAATTTTGTCTTTTACTTTCGCTCTGGAATTGAGAGTAATAAATATTTTGTTATGTAGAATTATTGTAATGCACAATCATCTGCCATCTCTTATATGGTATTTATGTGACAGGACAGAGAGCAGAGGACAGAGAGTATAACATACAACACTTGGTCGAGTAAAGTTTGAAAAAGCATTTAGATATACAACGATATTACACCATTTCATGGCCACAATGTCATTATGTTTTATTGCAAATTTCTGTTTTTGAAAAGCCTCAAAGATGCGGAACAGTCAGTTCTGCACATGCGTGTATTGGAGGTTCCAGCTTGTGATACAAGCAAAAACATGATCGTGCTTCCTTGATCATTTTTATTTTACAGCAACCTCGTACCCAGGGTCTTTCCTCTTGAGGAGAAAACCCTGGTAGAGGCTGGTCACGTGATCTGTTAAAATCTAGCAGATTTTTAATTAGCAATCCAAGATGAGGTAAATAAATATTTGATATTTGGATAATTTTTATAGCTTAATTTATAATTTGCATTTTGTATGATTGTCGTGAAGGAATCCAAATAGTTAATTAGAAATCTGTTAGATATCAGCAGATCACGTGACCAGCGTCTTTTCTCCTCAAGAGGAAAGATAAACTATTAAGATAGAAGTGACTTGTTTTCATTTGGTGTTGTTTGTGCAAAGACTGCAAATTTGAATTATTGTATTAAATTAAAATACTTGACAAATTGGTGGAAAGATCCTGGGTACGAGGTTGATTTTACAGCTGCCCCACTTCGTTTATAAAATTCATTATTCGGATACAAAATGTAAACAAATCTTACACGTGCAAACGGACTGTATCCCCAGGTTTTAAAATGACCAAGGTCTATTTAGTAGAGAATTTTGCTATCATGTTTAATATAATTATAGACTTGAAAGACATCATGGAAAGAGCGTAATACTTTACTATTCTGGAAAGAACATGACAATTAAACTTTGGAATAGTCTGCCACTGAACTTGAGACGGCAGCTGAATGTATCCATAATCCATAACCGGATACCATAAAAACACGGTAATAGAATATATCCGGTGTTAGAACAACCTTCGTTGTAGCCAATCAGATGCCAGTTTGACATGGATTTGGCCAGAGCCCCTCGTCGCGCTCCGTTGACCGCGCGTAAGAAGGGCTCTGGGTACGAGAATGGGGTATGCTTATCAAAAGGTTGACCTAAACAACGTGATACATACCCTCCTAATATGGCTAGGAATGGTCTAACAGGAGATTCCAATGCTTTGGCAAAATATGTAAGTTCTTTCTTTAGTAAGAAACCAGCAGCTTTCTGAGGCAAGTTAACACCCACCATTGAGCTACAGAAGACATAATGAAAGAAAACAAATGTCTAAATGAGATTCCCTTTTCGTAATTTATCAAACACGACTGTCGCAACTACAATGAGACGCTAATATATGAATACTTTTCTGTACAGTCCGATATTAGACCCGTTGTATTACTGAAATATTTCAGTCACTCCATGTGGAGTGTGATTACTGATTTCATGATTTTAAAATATTTCCTAGCATGCGCTGGAGATATAGACTGTGTCCAGAAGTGGATAATAGAACTAATAGAGTTAGGTAATAGAGATGAGTGCGACTAGTATAAAGGTTTCATTATTACTTTTACGAAATGTCTGTGAGTTGAAAATGTGGCATGCCCGAAAAATATTGTCCATCATTATAAACAAGATAGTTTAGGAACGATGACGCCAGTTCCTTAACTGAACTCAGTCTACCTGACACGAGTTTGTGCTTAGAGTTGTGAATGTGAAAATGTTACCTGTGAGCTCTATGAGCTGTCCCAAATGCGTCATTGATATAAATATCTCCAAGCTTAGAAAGAGACTCACGAAATTTCTTGACATCTTCGTCGCTTGCTTTCATCTAATGAAAATTCCAGAAATGTAAATGAATATATAGAGGATATTACACGGCGGCGCGAATATATGAGTTTTATCTTCGATTGGTGAAAACAATCTTTTACGAACGAGCGCAGCGAGTGAGTAAAATATTGTTTTTAACACGAGAAGATAAAAATCATATCTTCAAGCCACCGTGTAATGTTCTGTTTATTATATAGTCCCAAGCAAAAAATTGTGAAATTTCACGCTCAAAGTAAATTGGAAAAAGTCACGTGATCGAAATCTTCATGCACTATAAATGAAGATATGGAAAATATTTCACTGTGTATTTTTCAGTATCTCACTCTCTACTATATAATAAGCATATTTGAAACTGCGGCATTCATTCATTCATTGAAACTGATTAACGCGCTGCTCTTTGTCAATTGGGTCGTAAAATCATTAAACCAAACCAAACTAAACGATAACATGTTAGTGTCTATTTGGAGTATAAATCTGAACATTTTGAGCTATCGACGAACGCGCAAGGGTCAGAATAAAACGCAACAGTTATAGTAAAGTCTCTAGACTATGAATTGTTTGAAATTGTGACATTCCTTCGGAACCTCTGCAGAGTCTAGTCAAGATTACAAGCAAGCACTTCACTTTAAACAAACAAGTGATGTTAATTGCTTGTGGAACAATCTTTATATCATATATATATTCAAGCTTAGAACATGACAACCACCTAGCAAAGGTCCTTCCTTGCTCGAACAACATGCGTATGGAACGTATAGAGCGTTTGCGCTCATTCCCCAGGGACCAACTCAACAAAAGCCATGGCGGCCATGTTGGTGTTCCAGACAAAAGAGTGTAATTAAAATTATTTTGAATTGGAACACCAACATGGCGGCTGTGACGTCATGTGCAAACGCTTCTATACTCAATGAACTTAAACACGATGAAATGAATTAATGTGGCCGTTCTACATTTTAAACGAGGATATATGAATATGACACAACATCTTTTAAGAACTTGTTTTAACGCAGAAGATCCTCGCTCGTACAAACCCATGTATTGTTTCAAAAGTGTTACTCTGCATGTCTGTAGTCCAGCTGTTCCAATCTCGTGTTGCATGTATAGAGTAATAGAGTAATTTTCACTTGCTGTATGTTATATTACTTGTCGTCGACTATTTTAGTCTATTTTAGTCCAATGCATGGGCCGCAGTAATTGGCTAGCGCTGTTGCGTTGTTTATGTATTTTAAGGCAAAGCTAATAAATAAATAAATAAATAAATAAATGAAGGATATGAGCTGAGAGAAATATTTAACAGAAATACAATCAAGGTAAGCTATGGTTGTATGTCAAACATTAAGCAATTGATTGACGGCCAAGATAAAACCATCATTCCTAGGAAGACCAAACAAGAATCTGAAGCAAAGCAATGTAATTGTCGAAAGAAAGAGGAATGCCCAGTAGCTGAACGTTGTATATATAAGAGTAAGTCGGTAATATACGAAGCAACAGTAACTATCAATGATGGAACACCGGATCAGACCTATACATTGGACTGACAGCCACAATTAACATGTAAGACTAAGTATAACAATCATAAGACATTATTAGCTTTAAAAGGTGAAACATATTTGTTTTGAAAATTTACAGTGTCGCAGTTGTAAGCATGCCTACGTGATCCCCAAAGCAGAGTAACGCTCGACTTGACCGTTACGTATTTGTGTACTTTTACAACACGATTATCATTGGCAAGAATTTTTTAGTTAGACGTGTGTTTCACAGAAATATATCTGCCTTTCATCAGGAAGTATACACATGATTACTTTAAAAAAAATTAGTGTGGGAATTAGCTGGAAATGCGTTTTCTGGGCATGTAATTTTCAAAATTTTCTGGGAGAGGAAACGTTTGCTTTTGGTAGTTTGCATGGCCAAACCAAACAACCATGCAACACGTCTACACGATTACAAATCATTCAATGTAGCTTTCATTCTTTGAACATCTAGGCTGCTTGCAGAATATCTTCGAGCCACATGCAAAATGGAGTTTGAAATCGCGCAAGAAATTGCCGATGTAACCAAATATTTATGGTGTGCAAGTACGCACAAAAAGTATGTAATTTCTAGACGAAATGAAAGATCCCCCCCCCCCCCATTTCAGAAGCCAAATTTTTGTGAGCAGTTGGCGAAGATACTCGACCTTTGTACTTCATTTGAGCTAATTGTAAACAAGTTACAAAATTTAATAGAGTAATAGTTTAGGTCGGGTTTTTTTTTTCGCGCAAGACTTATTCTCCCACGCGGCCACTCTTAATTCTGACCAATCGAAACAAATCGTGGACGCATGTGATTATTTGTGATTATCTTATTGGCGTTCAATGACTTATTCGACTTCCTGCTCTTCGTGCTGGCGTTCAATGGCTCATTCGACTTCCTGCTCTCGTGCTATAAACTTTGTTTGCTCTCTGAGGACTGTACACTTTAAGAAAATTCTAGAACTGCATATATATAGGGATGTTACGAAACATCTGGTGGGCGTGGTCAAAACTTTTCAAAACTGGTAAGAGGGAATCATGAATATTTATTGTATAACAACCTTAAATTTGCATTCAGAAAGCGAAGAATACTAAAATGTTTATATTGAATGATGCTCCAGTGCTGAATGACTGTATTTCTGGCATTTTCTGGAGCATCCACAACGAAAACGAGTAAATGAGAAGATATAGGGATTTGGGGCATCTACACGCGATAGAACTAATTGTAAGAGGGTTTTGTAGATGGAAATTTCGAGTGTGCATGAGTTTTATACATTTATTAGACCCAACCAGGAGCCGTTATATAGGACCTCTGGCTGGAATCGAACTTGAGGTGCGGCGCTCTAACCAACTGAGCTGTTGTCGACTAACCACAAGTTCATGTATACTAAGGTGATGCAAATGTAAGGTGTATGGGTAAATATTATTAAATTATATTATAAATTATAATTAGTTTTATTTAATAATTGTATAAAAGTTCATAAAATCCAGTCCTCAACCGGATCTGACCGTGCAGGTCAGTTGGTAGAGCGTCGAGCATTTCGAAACTCAGCAGCGGGAAGCAGATTTTTCTGCTTGCGCGGTTTAAACACGCGAGAACATTTCATCCCATATACGCTATACTCGTGTGATGTAAATCTACTACTATATTAGTGTTTAGTTATCCTTACGGGCCGGGCAAGCGGGAAATTCTAGATTTCTTGGTATTTGTAGAATGACGCACTCTACCGTCTGAGCTACAAGGCAAAGTTGGGAAGGATGTTAAGCCTATTTATATATTTGTGATGTTATTGACATTTCGGAATTCTTACTTCGATGCCTGATGGCAACTGTTACTCTAATAAATATTATAAATGATTTTAAATTTTAATGTGTATAGTATTTATTATGGTTGATGTGTAATAAAAAGAAACGGATAAATACAACTCTAAAACAATTTTAACTTAAGAATAATTTTTAAAATGAATAATGCTTAAAATTGCGCTAAAAGGACACGGCACTCAAGACACTTGTCTACAAAACTTGCTTATCTCACTCAGCCAAAATTGTGTCCGCGATTTTTTATGAGCACGCGTTGGCCGCCATTTTGGCAGTAAGTGCAATCCACGCCATGAAACGTGAGCAATCACGCATTTTGGCAGTATAAGCGCCATTTTGGCAGTAAGTGTCGCACGCGTCATCTGGCGTGATAGCCTCCCGAAAATCGCGGACACGAAAATCATAGGGATAGGTATAGAGTGATTCATCTGGTATAATCTATCATCTGTGGCGAGGATGACCACCCACTCAACACCGTTGGTGAGCCACGCCCGCGATCATTGATCACTACAGGAGATTTGAATTGTGATCTATTACAACAAGATAAAAATGCGTCTACGGCTAGATTGTTGGATATATTTGATATTTATCTCCTGAAACAACATATACAAAGTCCTACTAGAGTAACTCTTAACTCTCAAACATTAATCAATGTCATTATCAGTTCGATTGAAGACAATAAGACAGTAGAAGCGGGGGTTGTTGAACATCAGTGATCATAACTTTATAGTCTACATATGCCGTAAAGTCAGTGTACCAAAGCAGCCACCTAAAATAATATTTAGTCAGCAATTCAAGAGTTAATGAATTTAGAACGGATTTAAGAAATATCTTTGCTACTAATATTATTACGGATGACCCAAACAACATGTGGCATGATTGGAAAAATAGATTTTTGCATGTTGCTGAGAAACACGCGCCTACTCGACAACGTCGTGTAAAAAGTGATTACAAACCATGGCTTACTGAGCATATCAAAAAACAATGTTACCATAGGGAGTTAAACTTAAATCTGCATATTACGATACGGCTTACAAAAGGCATAAAAATTATGTTAATAGTCTTATCAAATCCACCAAAGCAGAGTATTTCAAAACAAAACTTGGAAACACTAAGAACAGCTACGATAGCTGGCAGACAATAAATAGCTTATTAAACAAGAAATCTAAAACTACAGAAGTAAATCAGTTAAAAATGGACAATCGTATTATTACGGGAGATCAAAATATTGCGGCTTGTTTCAATGACTATTTTTCTACAATTGGGTCTAAACTCGTTGAAAATATCACCGAGAATGGCGCCGATCCCTTGCGATTTGTATCTCCTATTAAAAATGATTTTTGCTTCAAAAACATCAATGCCTCTGAACTGTCCGACACTCTTGCTCAAATTAAGACTAAAAAATCACCAGGAATCGATGGTATAAGTATTAAACTGTTGAAAGCTGCTGGGGATATAATATTAGATTCATAATTGGGTAGCATTTTTAATCTATCCTTACAAACAGGAATTTACCCTGATGACTGGAAATTGGCTAAAGTATCGCCAATCTTTAAGGATGGTGTAAAAACTGAGTGTGGCAATTATAGACCAATTTCTGTGATTTCCATCATAGCCAAACTGTTTGAGAAATTAGTATGTAATCAACTTAAAACCTACATGATGAATAACAATATAACTAAAAATCAGTCAGGTTTTCGAGAGCACCACTCCACGGAAACCGCTTTACTTGATTTAACAAACGATTGGCTTCATAATATGGATAATGGTTTATTGAACGGGGTTTTGTTTCTGGATTTTAAAAAGGCGTTTGACTCAGTCAATCATAACATACTACTTTCCAAATTAGAGCTTTACGGTAACAGAGGAACTAGTCTGAAATGGTTTAGATCTTAAGCAATCAGATGTAAACGAACTTAAGTGTGGAGTTCCACAGGGATCCAACCTTGGGCCGTTTTTGTTTCTCTTATATATTAACGACTTGCCCAGATGTTTCCAAACTATTAAGGCTAGATTATTTGGAGACGATACAACTCTTTCCATCAGTGCTCCAACCGTAGATGAAATTGAATCAAAACTTAACCATGATCTTTTGAATGTTAACGAATGGCTCATTGCAAATAAACTTACACTAAACGAAACGAAAACAGAATTTATGATAATAGGTTCACGCCAGCGAGTCCCGTCATTTGAGCAGGGCCCCATAATTAAACTTGGTAATCAAGTTATTAAGCGTGTACCCAATAAAAAGACGCTTGGTGTAATTTTAAATGAACACCTAACTTGGAACAAACATATCGACGAACAAAATAAAAAGATTTCAAACAATATTGCTTTATTAAGGAAAGCTAAATCGTTTGTGCCTGAACATATCCTTAATAAAATGTATAATGCATTTGTAATTCCAAATTTCTATTACTGTTCCACTGTTTGGAACGATGGCTACAAAAGTAAACTTACAAAGCTATCTAAACTTCAAAAGAAAGCGGCGCGTGTGATAACCAGCGCTTCATACGATGTACGGTCCAATGAAATATTTCGAAAACTTGATTGGATGCCTATCCATAAAAGCTTATCTATTCGAAAAAATATTGTTACTTTTAAAGCACTTACTGCTAATTCTCCGAATTATCTCACAGAAATGAGTGTCTAATTTCTGTTCAAACGAAACGTACAACTTAGGAAGTAACTTTTGCCAACTTTCCTTGAGAAACGTAACACAAACTTTCTCAAAAAAAGTTTCTCATATAGAGCGGCAAAATCTTGGAACAATCTCCCGGATAACATTAGACAAAACGTCAACAATAATTTATCACACTAAATGTTGCTAAATCTATGCTCATCAATCACTACAGAACCGATTAAGTCCCCTTGGGTTAATCAATAATATCAGTAGTTTTTACTATAATTAGAATAATTAGTTGTTTAATGTATTAGTATATATTATTGTGTGAAGCTGACCAGTATGTAGGCTTCACTATTTTGTATTATATTATAATTAGGTTAATATATGTTGTATAGTGTGCACGGCCCATTGAAAATCAGCGTAGCATGCTGAATGGCTACCGTGCTTAAAGAATTTTAAAGATTAAAGATTGATGAACTTTAGACTTCGCTAATGCTTTCGTTTCCCCGGGTGTAAATAGCCGGGGGGAATTAGTACCCTCGCCCCGGGCTTACGGCCGGAACGGCGCTCCACGCCGTTGGCTCGGGGATGACGTGTAATTTTTAATAGTACTTATAGGCCGTGGGCCATTGTGCGAAAAAGTGCTTAGAAAAGCAATTTCGTGGCAACCCCTTGGGGAATAGATTTTCTGTGGTTCAATGCATAGTACCATAGATGCTCAATCACAACAAAAAGTTCCCAAGCAGAAAACTTGCCAAACACCGAGAAAATGGGTGATCAGTGATTATCCTCTATTAAATTGTATTACAGCAAGAAATTTGTATTCAATTAAGAATGACTAGCATCATCAGAAAGCTTACAAAAATCTACATATAAGACATTTAAACAGTTTTTTATATCTCAAATTGTTTTCGAGTTATACGCTGTCAAATACGTGTTTTTGACCTAGTACCCAGTCCTTATTGCGACATTTTGGTCCAATTTTCACATTTAAAACAGCAATAACTCAAAGACTATTTGAAGGGTCAAAAAACTGTTTAAAAGTCTTATATGCGGTTTTTCCAAGCTTTCCGATGATGCAAATAATTTTTGTTGTAATTGAATACAAAATTTCACATTTTCTTGCTGTAATACAATTTAATAGAGGATAATCACTGATCACCCATTTTCTCGGTGTTTGGCAAGTTTTTTGCTTGGGAACTTTTTGTGGTAATTGAGCATCTATGGTACTATGCATTGAACCACAGAAAATCTATTCCCCAGGGGGTTGCCACGAAGCGGAATAATTTTGGCCCACGGCCTATTAGGCTTCATCAGCTGTGTTTTGTGAGTTTAGAAGAATAAAGCATTGTTATATCGAACTTCTGTGTTTGAAATATAATTATTGTGAAAATGCATTTTATTGAAACAAGTTATCTTTTTTATGTTTTCTACCGTGTTAAGTATCGTACTATTGGAAGGTTTCTGTTACTGTTAGACTAGTAAAAAAGGCTTTCCCTTTTGGCAGTTTCCTGAGGAAATTGTCCAGCTGTAGCCATGCAGAGTGATATACTAAAAGTAAAGTCATAACCCATAACTTGATGCAAACGAGGAAAGGTTAAAATAAAAGTACAAAACTAAAATAAATACACCTTAAAAGAAATGTGTCTTAGCAGACTTACCTGGTGAGAATTCTTCTGCGGGATTGTCGACAAACAACTGATGCGCTAGACTCGGCGTCCATTTTTATTTTCAGTACAAAACCGAAGAAGAACCCGATGGGAAAAAATGCCGGCAAAACAGACTGGAAGAAGTCAGCTGTTATGCAACACAACATTTCGTTGACTTCTGTTGTTTAAGTTTGTACTTATTACTGGCTATCGCAAGTTTTATATTTCTATCGCAATATCCTACCGCATTGCTGGTTTTGTCATGTTGTCTACCGTATTATCCTACTGCATTGGAGCAATTACAAAACAGCCTCCCACGGAAGACCTTCCGCTAGAGTGGCCAACTTTCCACTATGGGTAATCGACACAATAAGCCAAGTAATCGACATGTTATTCAGCAGGCCCTACAGCTACGCGAGCCTTCGTCTCAATTTTCAAATTTCGACCTGCGAACGGGCATACTCATTACGGGCTGTATGGCCTAATGGCCTGCGGAGGAGGTAGCAATGATGCTCTATACCGTCTGAGCTACAAGGCCAAGTTGCAATTGGGAACGATGCTACCTATTTGTGATGTTATATTGACATTTGGAATTCTTCCTTCGATGCCTGATGGCAGCTGTTACTTGGCAAATGTTATAAATGATTTTAAATTTTAATCTGTATTTATTTATTACGGTTGATGTTTATTAAATAAAAAGAAACGGATAAATACAACTCTAAAACAATTTTAACTGAAAAATAATTTTTAAAATGAATAATGCTTAAAATTGAGCTAAAACGATAACACGCACTCAAGACACTTGTCTACAAAAGTCTCTTTGTTTTAAAAGCGACGCAATGTTTGAAGTGTTGCCAGATGTTTCCTACACGCAACGGACAGTTTTGAAAGAAGAACAGGGAACAACGATGTGTAATAATTCAACGAACTCAACATCTTGGCCAAGAGAAGACGACGATGTTGAGCGTGTTATCTTAATGACACTTAATTTCATCTTCTTATTTGTTGGTGTGTTAGGAAACACTGCAGTTATTATTTATAACATTTTTCTGAACCACGACAAGACTCCGAGCAGCTGGTTCGTTACACACCTTGCTTTCGCTGATCTTCTCGTCTGTTTAATAATTTATCCCAAAAAAATTGTTTGGTTCTTTCATGCAGTAGGGAGAGATGACAGATTAGTGTTTTGCAAGGTAACGCAAACCACATTTTATGTTTCCTTATTCCTTTCCATAATGATTCTACTATGCATCACAATCGATAAATATCTGTATATAGCGAAGCCACTGAAGTATCCACTGATCGTGAGAATACGAAGAACTAGGATACTTCTCAGTTTTGTCTGTTTAGCTGCATTGGTTCAGATCCCACTCATATATATTTACATGGACACCGAACAAAAATGTGATCGAGGAAAACGTTGTTGTTTCGACCACGACCGGTTCAACCACGACCGGTTTATCCACGACAGGTTTACCCACGACCCGTTTATGCACGATCAAACAAGAATGTGAGCAAGAATGTTATTTTCCACGACCAGTTGTATGGTTACAGGTCATACTACAGTTAGCCGCCATTTGTGTCATGACAATCCTGAATTACAAAATGTTCAAGATCGTCAAAGATCATAAACACAGGATGGCATCAGAATTCGTGTTACAGCCTCAACAGTCAGAACAAGTACAGTCAGAACAAGTACAGTCTGAACAAATACAGTCAGAACAAGTACAGTCAGAACAAGTACAGTCAGAACAAGTACAGTCAGAACAAGTACAGTCAGAACAAGTACAGTCAGAACAAGTACAGTCAGAACAAGTACAGTCTGAACAAGTACAGTCTGAACAAGTACAGTCTGAACAAGTACAGTCAGAACAAGTACAGTCAGAACAAGTACAGTCAGAACAAATACAGTCTGAACAAGTACAGTCTGAACAAGTACAGTCTGAACAAGTACAGTCTGAACAAGTACAGTCTGAACAAGTACAGTCTGAACAAATACAGTCAGAACAAGTACAGTCAGAACAAGTACAGTCAGAACAAGTACAGTCAGAACAAGTACAGTCAGAACAAGTACAGTCAGAACAAGTACAGTCAGAACAAGTACAGTCAGAACAAGTACAGTCAGAACAAGTACAGTCAGAACAAGTACAATCAGAACAAGTACAGTCAGAACAAGTACAATCAGAACAAGTACAGTCAGAACAAGTACAGTCAGAACAAGTACAGTCAGAACAAGTACAGTCTGAACAAATACAGTCAGAACAAGTACAGTCAGAACAAGTACAGTCAGAACAAGTACAGTCTGAACAAGTACAGTCAGAACAAGTACAGTCAGAACAAGTACAGTCAGAACAAGTACAGTCAGAACAAGTACAGTCAGAACAAGTACAGTCAGAACAAGTACAGTCAGAACAAGTACAGTCAGAACAAATACAGTCAGAACAAGTACAGTCAGAACAAGTACAGTCAGAACAAGTACAGTCAGAACAAGTACAATCTGAGCAAAACATGACTTGGTTACGTCATCTTGCAAAGGAATTGAAAGCTATGAAGACATTCGCCATTATCGTTGGAGTCTTGACAGTTTGTTTTGTTCCATATATTGTCAACAACATACTTCGTAATTCACGCTATCATTCATGGTTCTCAGAACACATTGCAGGTCAGATCTTTCTCCAGCTGGTTGGTGTAAACTCGATTGCAAATGCCTTCATCTATGCACTGAGACATAAAAAATACATAAGAGCTTATAGGAAACTCTTTTCTTCTGTCTGGGCACGGCTTTTCCCACAAAATAACTGACTTATTGATTGATTATATATATATAGATATATAATTATCTTAAAATCTATAACCATCGAACAACGGAAAACAACTACCTAAATAATTGTAAGTATAACTATACAGTATATTAGTAACAACTGAAAACATTGTAAACATTTTGCAAATCATTTCTTGAGCAAGGATATCGCTGTTATTTCTTGAGCATGGCTGCTGAATACCTGCGTCTCTTTCAGTTCATTAGACTGAGGAAGAACCAAGGAAACAAACAATCATGCCATTAAACATGCCAATTTAATCAAGGAAATACTGTAAAACGCAAAGAAATTGACTCTCAAGAATAATAATGAAGCGAGAAACTATACATATACCACAGTTTGACGGTGAAAAAGAACAACATAGAGAAGATCAATATCTATTAAAAGAAACAAGGCGAGCGAACAACGAAGAAAATAGTGTGCAAGATTCCTAAGAGAAAATTGAAGAGACCAAAGACGTAGCATGCATACACTGTCGCTTATAATTCATCGTTTTGTTTTACTTAAGAAAACTTATCTATGTCAGTCCAATAAAATTAGTTGTATCACTAGAGATTCCCTATATAGATAGTCACATAGTATTTAAAAATTCAGATCTGAAACGACATATTATATTTATAACAGTTGTGCAAAGTGTAATACAATAAGACTTAATAATTATGCATTGCAAGTAGCTTATGTATTTACTAGATGGCTGTGGTGTGATGGACATATATCCCTACCTGAACAATATATTAAGCAGAACTTGGATATTTTGAGCGAAGGACCTTCGTCGGGAGGATAGTACTTACAGATAGATAGATAGAACGTTTAATTGAATCAATATTTACAGTCTTGTGAACTGAATTACTATTGAATTTACAAAAGTTAAAATATATGAATATATATATGAATATATATATATATGAATATATATATATATGAATATATATATATATGAATATATATATATATGAATATATATATATATGAATATATATATATATGAATATATATATATATGAATATATATATGAATATATATATATATGAATATATATATATATGAATATATATATATATATGAATATATATATATATATGAATATATATATATATATGAATATATATATATATATATATATATATATATATATATATATATATATATATATATATATATATATATATATATATATATATATATATATATATATATATATATATATATATATATATATATATATGAATGTATATATATATATATGAATGCTGCTATAT